TGATATCGGTCGTTATGTCGGGAAATGCATCACGTGTTTACAGGTAAAAGCAGAACACCAAAAGCCGTATGGGAGTCTACAACATTTGGAGATACCTGTGTGGAAATGGGAAGAGCTAACCATGGATCTTGTTACAAAGTTGCCTAAGACCTCTCGCCAGTACGACAGTATTTGGGTTATCGTAGATCGCCTGAGAAAGTCTGCTAATTTTCTTCCCGTTTGGGAATCATATACGATGGATCGGTGGGCACAACTTTATGTTGATGAGATCGTTGCTCGACATGGTGTACCCTTGAAGATAATCTCAGATCGTGACTCTCGGTTTACTTCTACCTTCTGGTCTGGATTACAGCGGGAACTTGGAACGCGGGTGGCATTCAGTACCGCGTATCACCCGTAAACTGACGGGCAATCCGAGTGTACCATTCAGACGTTAGAAGACATGTTGCGCGCTTGTGTCTTKGAGTTTGGTGGGAGCTGGGATACTCATTTGCCTCTGGTCGAGTTTTTGTATAACAACAGCTACCACGCGACAATCGGTATGGCACCTTTTGAGGCTTTGTACGGACGTAAGTGTCGTACGCCTCTATGTTGGAAAGAAACTGGAGAAAGATGCTTGCTGGCCCCGAGCTCATTCAAATTACTCACGACAAGATTCAAGTGATTGAGAGAGAATGAAAGCTGCACAAGATAGACAGAACTTGTATGCAGATCGCCGCAGAAAGCCAATTGAATTCTCAGTTGGAGATTTAGTAATGTTGAAGGTTTCTCCATGGCGTGGGGTACTCCGATTTAGAAAGCAGGGTAAGCTTAGCCCTCGTTTCATTGGACCATTCAAAATATTGGAGCGGGTTGGAAAGCAAGCGTATCAGCTTGAGTTGCCAGAAGAACTCACAGGTATCCATGATGTTTTTCATGTTGCTTATCTAAGGAAATGTCTCGGTAAACACGAGGAGGTGGTGCCATTAACGGAAATCAAAGTAGACAAGAAATTGAGATACATTGAAGAACCCGAGGCTATCTTAAATCAACGAACGGTGAACTTGCGCAACAAGGTTGTGGATCTAGTGTTGGTTAAGTGGAAATATCATCGTGGGCCAAATTGGACATGGGAGAATAAAGAAGAAATGATGGCGAAATACCCGACACTGTTCGAGCAACGATGATTCCGAGGACGGAATCTTCAAAAGGAGGAGGTATTTGTAACATC